TTTCAGAATACTTTTCTTCTAAGGTTTACAATCAAACAAAATGAGAAAGATGAAAGTAAAAAGCAAGAAGTTGCGGTTTATTATATGAATTTAGGAAAGAAAGACAAAAAAAAAAGAAAAAAGAATACGGCACCCAGTGTTCCCAGGCGGTCTCCCATCCAAGTACTGACTGGGCCGTACGTCATTTAACTTCGGTGATCGGACGAGAACCGGTGCTTGTAACGTCGTATGGCCGTATACAACAGACTGCTTAACTATGCCCTATTTAAACGTAGATTCTTCTCTTAACACATTCACCCGTTTTATGAGAATTTCTAGAAACGCAAATGACAGGAAGAGAGAAATATTGAAGATCGAGTGAAAATTATATTTAACTATACAGAGTCCCAAATTTCTCTAAAAAGTTCAACTATGTGCGTAACATTAACATTCCAGGAGAACATATTTTCTCTTCTTCATTGTCGATTGTACTAATCACAATTTTAAATGTATTACGTATAAATAGAGGTAAGTCATCTTAAGCCAATTGTTTAAGCTTAAACGGTAGTGATTATCGTTCAAAATGAATCAACCTTGCTTTTTAACCTTTGAATTAATCAAGGGCCTTATCATGGAAAACAGAAACTTTCACATCGCGAAAATGTCACTTAGTAAACGATTTAAAAATCGCTGAAATACAGAAAATTATCGCAAAAAAAACCTTACAGTCACAAAGAAAGTGAAACAAAACAGACCATAACACGTTTACGCTCTGCGAAATAACATTTGTCATATTTTAGGTTTTTACTTTAGGCAAAAGAAAAACTTTCTAGTTATGAAAACTACGTTACGAGGACCAAAGAGAAGAAAAAAAAGATAAAAAGAATACGGCACCCAGTGTTCCCAGGCGGTCTCCCATCCAAGTACTGACTGGGCCGTACGTCATTTAACTTCGGTGATCGGACGAGAACCGGTGCTTGTAACGTCGTATGGCCGTATACAATGGTCTACTTAGATTTACGCTATTTATACAACACCTACATCTCTAATCACTCTTCTCATTATCACGTGAACAGCGACTCTAATAAAATGGTTACATAAAGCAAAGTGATTTTAATGGTATCACCGATATTGCAATTTCATTTTTATACGTATTCTTTAGGTGAACTCATATCAATCTTCTACAGTGTCCTAAGACTAAGTTCGCAAACAGATATTACTCTTCTTTTCTCCTCAAAAATGACAAAGAGGGAAGAATATAATCAACTATCTCCCACTTTGGTTATTATTATTACCAGATGGGTTTAAAGTTGGAGTGAGGTTCAGAGTTATATTCAAAGATAAATATTTAAGATATTTTTTCATAGTTTTCTTTCTGTAAATTTCTAAAAAAAAGAGAGGTAAAGACTAAAAGTTAACGCTGACGTTGCTTCTACAGGCAGATATATTGTCATTTAAGTACTTAGTCACGTTATCCTTAAAACGGTCATGATTTTCAAATGATTTTAATAAAAGCACATGTAGTATAAATAGCACAAAGTTAAGTAGTCAATTGTATACGGCCATACGACGTTACAAGCACCGGTTCTCGTCCGATCACCGAAGTTAAATGACGTACGGCCCAGTCAGTACTTGGATGGGAGACCGCCTGGGAACACTGGGTGCCGTATTCTTTTTTCTTTTTTTTCTTACTTAATTCTTCTTCTGTTCTTTTGTTTTCGTTGTCTCTGTTTAACGTCTATAATCCAAGTTTTTATGCCAAAACAAAGATTTTGATGTAGACATTTATCCGCATGCTTCAGAGACGCTGATATCTGACAGTCGCCTAAAAATATCCTATTACCAACCTGGCAGCTTAGAGTTTGCAGTAATTTCAACAAATAGCAGTGGAGTGATTATAATAAAATCATTTATATTAAGTATTACAATAGAGTGACAATTGATTTTGAACTCTCTGGTGAAATAATCACAGTTACTTTTGTTACTTTCCTACATATAATATTTGTGTATCATCTCGAAACGAAAATTATATAGAATAGTTAAACTCGTCTTTCAAGTTTTCTATTATTATAATCAAACTTCATCATACGCTAGATAGTCATTTACAGCTAAATATCTGCGTTGAATGGGGCTTTAATAAGAACCAGTTGATTGACATAAAACATAAATTGGGTTTTTTGATTACGAACCGCTTTTCGTCTGGGAATAGAGGGTACTCTGCGTGTTTTTGTATATTTTTTATAGTACCTTATCAGATTGGCTCTCAAGTCCAGCGCTGAGACTTTTGTGAAAACACTTTTTCGACAATAGGGGCAACGATGTAGTGATCGTTTGAATAAGAAGAATATTAGGTAAACTGCTTTGAAATAACTTTTGAGGTATGTAGTTTTAATATTGACAACATAACTATGATTCGTTTAAATAGCACAAAGTTAAGTAGTCAATTGTATACGGCCATACGACGTTACAAGCACCGGTTCTCGTCCGATCACCGAAGTTAAATGACGTACGGCCCAGTCAGTACTTGGATGGGAGACCGCCTGGGAACACTGGGTGCCGTATTCTTTTTCTCTTTTTTTTTCTTTTTCAAGTTACTTTTATTGATTTTAATTATAAATTAAACGTTAGATAGGAGATATAAACAAGTATATGCTTTTTTAGACATACAATTATAGGCTGATCAACGTTTGAAAAAACTCAATTGTCCAGCAGTTAAGTTGGAGCTGGACAATACTTAAAGCAAAAAAACGCTCAATTGTTTTTATGTTTTTAGAACGTTTTGGACCGAAAACATTTGTTTTTTA